ATCCAACAACTGGGTACAAATTTGGATCAAAATTTATTTATTTTTAGGCCTGATTTCATAAATTGAGTTCAACCAATTGAGTCTTTGCAGGTATAAACTAGATTCTGAGGCTAAAGGCCCAATGGCCCCAATCTCCCAAATGGACATCACATATGATTGGGCTTGGCCCAACCCCTCTTTACATAATCTGTGTTTTAGCCTCTTGACAAAAGAGAGATAATTAAGGAGTGAATATCAAGATTCGAGTCTTATTATTAAAATCAAATGAATTGATGAAGTACACAATGTGCTTTTATACCCTTACATCTGGTTGATAAATGTGTTGTGTTGTTGATATAACACGGGTGTTTTAGTCATTCTTAATCACGATTTGTAACAGAGAATCCGACTTTAAATCCTATAAATTTAGTTTATAAATCAAATTGTACTCTTTTTTTTCAAATAAGCAAATAATGAGCCGATTGTACCAATGTGTTTTGAGCTATTAGAGCCAGGATACATAATTTGAGCTTTTCTTTCATGAATGAAAGCTACCCTCGTTAGCTCTACTTGAAAGCTACCTGCATCCCCATTTATGGGGGAAATACACAAAGTTCCTTCTTCAACATATAGTTTTGGCACAACTGTAGATCCAATGTATTCGAGCAATGTTACGAGATTTGCTGCATGATTATGAAGAGAAGTATAGAACCATGTCAAAAGGATGTATTTGCTATCTGTGTGTATTAGGGATCAAAATTTTGTTTTGCAACATCTAAAACATTTCCGTTTTCAATGAGACTAAAATGAATCAGTAATAAAATTGAAATTCTAATACTTCGATATGTTGCATAATGTTTTGAGATATTTTTCAATGTTTTAATACATTTGCACAATTGTTCGAGCATGTTTTAAGGTATTCATTTCAAGATACTTTTATATATTTCAACTAATTTTTTTAAAAAATAATTCTTATTTTTTTTTATTTTTTTCCTTCGATTTTCGAAATGGGTTGAAATATTTTCGAAACACGTAGAAACGTTTATATTTCTTAGCTGGCCGAAATAATGTATTAAAACGAATTTTTGATCCTTGGTGTATATATATAATTGAGTAATATATTCTATAAAACTAAGTTAAAATTCAGATGTAACTTGCTAGAATTTGGCTCTAATTGGATAATTTTTTTTTAACTGGTTGCAAATGCATTGTAAAAAAAAGGTTCGTCGAATATTAAGATCGCATATGATTTAATTTATGTTATCATCAGGGTTTTATTTGGTGAGAGATTTACTTATTATATACATCTCCCTTAAATGTGGAAAAAAGAATTAAAAGATACTCAGTTCCATTATCATTTGCCACATTAAAACAAACAAATGTGAGTGACTAGATGACATGTTCTATAATTTACCAGTAGTAGCAAGTAATTCATACAAATTAAACTTCGGCAATGAGGCCACAAGTATATTGCATCAGGTTAGGATGCTAGTTTAACATAATAGAGTTATTTAACTCTAACAAACCGTAACTTTATATCTGGATGTTGTATTCGAGAATGTGATATGTGTTTTTCATGCAAAATTTTATTCTCCACACACTGATTATGACGTTATATCATCCGCGACACGACGATGCTTAGTATTAATCATATATCTCTGGTTGGAATACTAGTTTAACCAAATTGAGTTTCTTAACTTTAACCAATTTTAACTTCATAGCTGGATTTTGCATTTGTAAATGTGATAAATATTTTCCGTGTAATTTTTTTTTTTAATGAAATGGTAGGAGATTGATTAATTAGAAATATTTGAGAGATGGAGGGGCACTAAGAAATCTAGTGCCTCCTCCTCTCATACATCAAAACAATTGATAGAAACCACTTTTTTAGCTAAGCTATATGCTACCTTATTACTAAAACGTCTTACAATAGACACCTTAAAATATTTAAAGTCATCGAAAATAATATTAATATCTGCTTGAACAGGATTCAGAGGCTCGAAATCATCACATGTATCTGAAATCAACTTTATCACATTAACTGAGTCATCTTCCAAAATAATATTATCGCATTCTTGTTGTCGAGCGAAAAGAACTACTCCTCTTGTGGCAACAACCTCCGCCGATTGCGCGAAACAAAAATGATGTAATTTTCTTAGAAATACCTGCTCTAAAACCCCTCTCTCATCCCTTATAAATACTACCAGTCTGATGGCTCCTTCAGAAGCAAACACTGTCCCATCGAAGTTTACTTTCAGAGATCTTGCTACTGGAGGGAATCAACGAACTACGGCCTCCTCTGTTAGTGGCTGATTACGGGTGTCCACAGCCTGTTCATAATGCTTGATGTAGTCTAGGGAGATTTGGTGTAAAGTGACTGGATCCCTTTTCAAATTTTAGAATAGAACCTCATTCTTATTTGTCCATATAAACCAGCAATGAATGAGAAAAAGGGAGAGTTGTTGGGAAGTCATCTGTACAACATATCTAGCACCATCGAGTGGAGTAGTTCAGTGGCATACTGGCCAAAATTTTCACTTGAGGTTGAAAATTCGAGTCTTGAAGTTCACATTGGAACACAGTGGTTGATCGCTCTGCTAATCTAACTAATTTCGTTTTCAAGAGGAGTAACAATCGTGATCAAATGTCTCATGATCTCACCAATTAAAATCTATCAGGTGGTCTCTGAACTTTCTCTTTCGTCCCCGCCCCTTTTTTAACCAGCAAAACTACAAAAATATCCAGCAACCACTATTTTAAGTGAGCATATGGAGACTGCACAAGTTGAAGCAAATAACTGCCAGCCCAAGACTTTATAGCCACACTCACATTTTTTCACAACACGCAAAAGTCTTTCCTTCTCACTTCCGCGAACGCAACACGTATCATCCAATCGAAGCTTTCTTCTCTTGAGATTGTCGATAGTTGGAAGAGAATTTGGAGTCATCCGCCATGTGAATATTTTAATTTTGTTTGGTATTCTCTAATTCCAATCGTGTATGGATTAAGAAGGTTGGTATCGGTTAAATATGTTCGTGTCAAAAATTACTTAACCTATATATGAACCATTTATTACATGGGTGAAAAAAAAAAAAAACAAAGCACGACCCATTTAACCCCCAATTAAATGGGTCTTTTAGATCAATTTCAAGTCCACACGATAACCATTCCACCCATAATAATTATAGACCTGTTTATCATAAAAATTATATACATGCCAAATTCAAGCATCCAACATATCCATCAACAATGTTAGGGCAACTAAGGCCTAAGAGTGCACAACTGCTGATGGGTTGGGCTGCGAATAGAATATGAGTTTCTAAATTGAACAGGTTCTAGACTCAATTCTTATGTATGCTTATTTAAACGATGGATAAACAGGTTGATATATTTCATCTAAATACGTCCCGTGTGACAGATGGGTCTCACGGTCTGCCCATTTATCATTCGAACCCGTTAAGATCAAATCTAGACTTACTAATTTCATATTAATTCGTGTCAGATAATCGAGTCATTCTACATTTTGTCTTTCCTAATTGTAGTGTTGTTTTTTTATGTCAACTCTAAAAATTTTAGGACGAGACTTTTATATATATAGTTTTTAAATAGACAAGATTTTGTTAAGTTGAGTTGAATTGAACAAAGTCTTACTTTTATACGGCTAATATTGGTCAAACAATTAAACTAAAAAAAGAAGACTTAATCCACAATCCCTCAAACCCTTGCTTCCACTAGAACCAATATTAGATGGCGTCCAAAACTTTGTGCAAGGAAAGGAATGTACATGGCTTGCCATCAATTATCCATGCATAAATGCCTCCAAGAGTTATATAAAAAAGAGGCCACAATTAAGCAGACATTTAGGATGGAGTAGCTCCGTCCTAAATGTCTGCTTAATTAATGAGACTCCGTTTTTGCACGGATGGTTAAAGTCCACTAAAATGGAGTGGCAAGTTGAAAGTTCAATTTTTATTATCGGCTCTCTCTATTGTTGCTTATCAAAAAAAAAAATAAATAAATAAAGAGATATTTGGGTTGGTTCAAAAATCAAAATCAGACCGCAATTGTGCCTAAGTTACTTAATTGTATCCCCTTTTAACCCTTACCACAGGATATTTTCCTTTAGTACGGATTTTCTATTGGATAAATCTATTTAATTTTTTTAATAGATTATTCATCGTGTATTGCTCGAAAATCTAGACATATGCATTAAATCCTATTTGAATTCGTAGCCAAAGTGTTAACTTCCAGAAAATTTTAGACAATATATACCGGAAGAATCAAAATAAAGGGAATAAAATGATGATCGAGTATTTAAAACTTTATCATAATACAATAATGAGTCTGTTTGAAGTTAGCTTAGGTAATTTTTAAGGGTTTTAAAATAAAATAAACTTGGTCTTTTAAACTTTGATTTTTTTATCAGTTTGTGCCAACAATTTTTTTGACCCAAAAAAAATTATTTAAGTTGATTCAAGAAGCTAATTTTAACAAACTTTGTTTTCGATTTTTTGAAATTTTGTCACAAATCCTACATAACTTTTTAATTTATTGTAATCATAAAATATTATTAGTGAAATAAAAAAAATTGAAATTCATATTTTGGGAATTATTATACATAATCTATACATACATATAATTATTTTTTTTATTTTGACACAAAAACACCAAAAAAAATTAAAATCTCCAATGGAATTTTTTTAATTTTTTCAACTTTTTAAAGAGCGCCCCAAAAGATTTTGAAAGAATTTTTTAACTCCACTTTTTTTGTAAAACTTTTTAATCCGTAACTTCTGATCTAAAAAAATCAATTCTAAACAGCCCAATATCTCTATCTTTAGACAGTTTATCTGCCAAAAAACTAAATTCAGCATTCACTTGTGAATATCAAAGCTTACAATGCACAACTAGGTCATGCAAATCATCCATCCAAAAATCTTTCCATTTTCATTCCAACTTTTAAAACAAAAGAAATTTAGGCATTAGTGATATACTACTGAGCCACCACCTTAATCCCATCCTTATTGGGCACCACCAGGATTGATCATCTCTTGAATCCGGGACAAGTGCTTCCCTCCATTAAGGTGAGCAGCCATGTCAATCTCCCCAGAACACATTACATGACAAATACGGCAGAACCCCGGTTGGCCATCTACTGGATTGAGCATCTGTTCAACCCGGGACAAGTGCTGCTTTCCATTAAGGTGACCAACCATGACACTCTCTGCGGAACACCTTACATTACAGATACCACACTCCCACCCTTGTTCGCCACCACAAAGATCGAACATCTTTTTAATCCGGGACAAGTGTTTACTTCCTTTGAGGTGAGCGGCCATGTGAATCTTTTCAGGGCACCTTATATCACATATACTGCACCACAGTTTAGACAGCTTCGTCCCAGCGTTACTAGTACTAGTATTTCTCTGCTTGAATTGCTCACTGTTGCTGCAACGGGTGTTTTTGGCTGCCTGCTTACTAGCTTTGAGCTCAGCCAACGTTGCCCTATGTTTCTGTCCTCGAAGATGGCTCTTCAAGTTTGCCTCACATGTGGTTGTCACCTGGCATACAGCACAAGTCCACTCCTTCTGAACTTTCTTCGGAGCATGTGGCTCTGGAAGCATGTCCTCTTCACAAGCTGCCGGCTCTGTCATTTTTTTGACCTCCACCACTGCAACTGCTTTCTTATCAGTCTGAAAAATTTTGAGTTTGCATGATTAAACTGTAGAAGTTGCTCAGAAAGGTTGATGACCATGTTTGCTCACTGGTTCTGCTTAATTTAGAAATGGCAAATTATAAATTAGGTCTCCATGGTTTCATTCAGTAACACTGAACCTCCTTGTGCTTCAAAAACCCATACATGAACCTATGGTTAGGAACCAACCTGGGAGTTCAGCAATTTAGTACAAAAAAGACAGTAATACCGTTCACCTTGTTTTTAATTTTTTAAGTGTTTTTCTTTGTGAATTTTTTACACAAATTTAAAACATGTTTTATGCATAAAATGGAAGCGAAGATAAAAAGATTGGTTATTTTCACAACTAATTTGGCTAAAAGTGTTGATTTTGAACTTTAATCATTAACTAACGGTTCCAGTTTTGTCGAAAACCATAGGGGTTATGTTTATAATATTAATGATATGGGGAGGTAACCCGTTACTGGTTGAAACCACTGACAGGTAATCTAGCTTCCCTATGTTGAAACAATATAAGAAACAAAGCTGCTACCAAGAAGCCGATGTGCAAAATGATGTATGACAGCTGAACCATCAAAAACCCTATACATGTTTTGTCAGGAGAGAAAATTGATATAGTAATAAATGAATCTGGAAAAAGCAACAATAATGACGAATGTGAAGAGAATTTGATATATTAAACTAGTTTCACTGCATATTTGCACTATTGTCCGTGTGACATTACTAATCAAAAAACATCAAAACTAGGCAATCCAAGTGCATTCCCCACATTCAGACAGCTGACTTAGAAATTCTTTCCAAAACATAGAAACTTAGCTTCCTAGTACCCATTAATAGAAGCCTTTGAAACTAAGTTTCCTAGTGCCCATTGATAGAAGACTTACCCATTTTGCAATTGCTGCTGCATTTTTCTCTGGAGGCTCTGGAAGCTTGTCCTCTTACGAGTTGTTGGCTCTGTCATTTCTTCGACCTCCACCGCTGCAACTTCTTTCTTCTCAGTCTGAAAAAGAATTTTAGTTAGTATGAGTAAAATGTAGAAGTTACTAAGCAAGGTTGATGACTATGTTTGCTCTATGGTTCTGCTTAATTTAGAAATGGTAAATTATACATTAGGTCTCCATGGTTTCATTCAATAACACTGAACCTCTGTGCTTCAAAAACCCATACATGACCATATGGTTGGGAACCAATGTTGAAGTTCAGCAATTTAGTACAAAAAAAAAAACAGTAATACCGTTCACCGGGTTTTTAAGTTTTTAATTGTTTTTCTTTGTAAAATTTTTATACAAATTTAAAAAATGTTTTATGCATAAAAGGGAATAGAAGATAAAAGGATTGATTTATTTTAGAGAAAAATAAGAAACATAAAATGTATAATACGATAAAAGTTATATTAACACTAAATTTCACTAAAAATGTTGATTTTGAACTTTAACCATTAACTTACGGTTCGAGTTTTGTCGGAAACCATAGGGGTTACGTTTATAATATAAATGATATGAGGAGGTAACGCTTTACTGGTTCAAACCAGTGGCAGATAATCTATAGTTTCCCTATTTAGAAACAATATAAGAAACAAAGCTGCCACCCAGAAGCCGATGTGCAAAATGATGTATGACAGCTGAACCACCAAAAAACCTTTTCATGTTTTGTCAGGAGAGAAAAATTAATATAGTAATAAATGAATCTGGAAAAGGCAACAATGATGACGAATGTGAAGAGAATTTGATATATTAAAACCCAGTTTCACTGCATATCTGCACTATTGTTCGTGTGGCATTACTAATCGAAAAACATCAAAACTGGGCAATCCAAGTGCATTCCCCACATTCAGACAACTGACTTAGAAATTCTTTCCAAAACATAGAAACTTAGCTTCCTAGTACCCATTAATAGAAGCCTTTGAAACTAAGTTTCCTAATGCCCATTAATAGAAGACTTACCCATTTTGCAGTTGCTGCTGCATTTTTCTCCAGCGGCTCCGGAAGCTTGTCCTCTTTACGAGCTGTTGGCCTTGTCATTTCTTCGACCTCCACTGCTGCAACTGCTTTCTTCTCAGTCTGAAAAAGAATTTTAGTTAGCATGAGTAAATTGTAGAAGTTGCTAAGCATAGTTGATGACCATGTTTGCTCTATGGTTCTACTTAATTTAGAAATGGTAAATTATACATTAGGTCTCCATGGTTTCATTCAATAATACTGAACCTCTTTGTGCTTCAAAAACCCATACATGACCATATGGCTGGGAACCAATATTGAAGTTCAACAATTTAGTACAAAGAAAGACAGTAATACCGTTCACCGGGTTTTTAATTTTTTAATTGTTTTTCCTTGTGAAATTTTTATACAAATTTAAAAATATGGTTTATGCATAAAAAGGAAGAGAAGATAAAAATATTGATTTATTTTAGAGAAAAATAAGAAACATAAAATTTATAATGCGATAAAATTTATTTTAACACCTAATTTCGCTAAAAATGTTGATTTTGAACTTTAACCATTAACTTACGGTTCGAGTTTTGTCAGAAACCATAGGGGTTACGTTTATAATATTAATGATATGGGGAGGTAATGCTTTACTGGTTCAAACCACTAGTAGGTAATCTATAGTTTCCCTATTTAGAAACAATATAAGAAACAAAGCTGCTACCCAGAAGCCGATGTGCAAAATGATGTATGACAGCTGAACCACCAAAAAACCTTTTCATGTTTTGTCAAAAGAGAAAAATTGATATAGTAATAAATGAATCTGGAAAAGGCAACAATGATGACGAATGTGAAGAGAATTTGACATATTAAAACCCAGTTTCACTGCATATCTGCACTATTGTTCGTGTGGCATTACTAATTGAAAAGCATCAGAACTGGGCAATCCAAGTGCATTCCCCACATTCAAACAGCTGACTTAGAAATTCTTTCCAAAACAGAGAAACTTAGCTTCCTAGTACCCATTAATAGAAGCCTTTGAAACTAAGTTTCCTAGTGCCCATTGATAGAAGACTTACCCATTTTCCAGCAACTGCTGCATTTTTCTCTGGTGGCTCCAGAAACTTGTCCTCTTTACGAGCTATTGGCTCTATCATTTCTTCGACCTCCACCGCTGCAACTGCTTTCTTCTCAGTCTGAAAAAGAATTTAGTTAGCATGAGTAAACTGTAGAAGTTGCTAAGCAAGGTTGATGACCATGTTTGCTCTATGGTTCTGCTTAATTTAGAAATGGTAAATTATACATTAGGTCTCCATGGTTTCATTCAATAACACTGAACCTCTTTGTGCTTCAAAAACCCATACATGACCCTATGGTTGGGAACCAATGTTGAAGTTCAGCAATTTAGTACAAAAAAAGACAATAATACCATTCACCGGGTTTTTAATTTTTTAATTGTTTTTCTTTGTGAAATTTTATACAAATTTAAAAATATGTTTTATGCATAAAAAGAACGAGAAGATAAAAGGATTGGTTTATTTTAGAGAAAAATAAGAACCATAAAATGTATAATGCGATAAAAGTTATTTTAACACCAAATTTTGCTAAAAATGTTGATTTTGAACTTTAACCATTAACTTACAGTTCGAGTTTTGTCGGAAACCATAGGGGTTACGTTTATAATATTAATGATATGGGGAGGTAACGCTTTACTGGTTCAAACCATTGGCAAGTAATCTATAGTTTCCCTATTTAGAAACAATATAAGAAACAAAGTAGCTACCCAGAAGCTGATGTGCAAAATGATGTATGACAACTGAACCACCAAAAAACCTTTTCATGTTTTGTCAGGAGTGAAAAATTGATATAGTAATAAATGAATCTGGAAAAGGCAACAATGATGACGAATGTGAAGAGAATTTGATATATTAAAACCCAGTTTCACTGTATATTTGCACTATTGTTCGTGTGGCATTACTAATCAAAAAACATCAAAACTGGGCAATCCAAGTGCATTCCCCACATTCAGACAGCTGACTTAGAAATTCTTTCCAAAACATAGAAACTTAGCTTCCTAGTACCCATTAATAGAAGCCTTTGAAACTAAGTTTCCTAGTGCCCATAGATAGAAGACTTACCCATTTTGCAGTTGCTGCTGCATTTTTCTCTAGTGGCTCCGGAAGTTTGTCCTCTTTAGGAGCTGTTGGCCTTGTCATTTCTTCGACCTCCACTGCTGCAACTGCTTTCTTCTCAGTCTGAAAAAGAATTTTAGTTAGCATGAGTAAATTGTAGAAGTTGCTAAGCATGGTTGATGACCATGTTTGCTCTATGGTTCTACTTAATTTAGAAATGGTAAATTATACATTAGGTCTCCATGGTTTCATTCAATAACACTGAACCTCTTTGTGCTTCAAAAACCCATACATGACCAGCCATTCACCGGGTTTTTAATTTTTTAATTGTTTTACTTTGTAAAATTTTATACAAATTTAAAAATGCTTTATGCATAAAAAGGACGAGAAGATAAAAAGATTGATTTATTTTAGAGAAAAATAAAAAACATAAAATGTATAATGCAATAAAAGTTATTTTACCACCAAATTTCGCTAAAAATGTTGATTTTGAACTTTAACCATTAACTTACAGTTCGAGTTTTGTCGGAAACCATAGGGGTTACGTTTATAATATTAATGATATGGGGAGGTAACGCTTTACTGGTTCAAATCACTGGCAGATAATCTATAGTTTCCCTATTTAGAAACAATATAAGAAACAAAGCTGCTACCCAGAAGCCGATGTGCAAAATGATGTATGACAGGTAAACCACCAAAAAACCTTTTCATGTTTTGTCAAGAGAGAAAAATTGATATAGTAATAAATGAATCTGGAAAAGGCAACAATGATGACGAATGTGAAGAGAATTTGACATATTAAAACCCAGTTTCACTGCATATCTGCACTATTGTTTGTGTGGCATTACAAATTGAAAAGCATCAGAACTGGGCAATCCAAGTGCATTCCCCACATTCAAACAGCTGACTTAGAAATTCTTTCCAAAACATAGAAGCTTAGCTTACTAGTACCCCTTAATAGAAGCGTTTGAAACTAAGTTTCCTAGTGCCCATTGATAGAAGACTTACCCATTTTCCAGCAACTGCTGCATTTTTCTCTGGTGGCTCCAGAAACTTGTCCTCTTTACGAGCTATTGGCTCTATCATTTCTTCGACCTCCACCGCTGCAACTGCTTTCTTCTCAGTCTGAAAAAGAATTTTAGTTAGCATGAGTAAACTGTAGAAGTTTCTAAGCAAGGTTGATGACCATGTTTGCTCTATGGTTCTGCTTAATTTAGAAATGGTAAATTATACATTAGGTGTCCATAGTTTCATTCAATAACACTGAACCTCTTTGTGCTTCAAAAACCCATCCATGACCCTATGGTTGGGAACCAATGTTGAAGTTCAGCAATTTAGTACAAAAAAAGACAATAATACCATTCACCGGGTTTTTAATTTTTTAATTGTTTTACTTTGTGAAATTTTATACAAATTTAAAAATATGTTTTATGCATAAAAAGGACGAGAAGATAAAATGATTGGTTTATTTTAGAGAAAAATAAGAAACATAAAATGTATAATGCGATAAAAGTTATTTTAACACCTAATTTCGCTAAAAATATTGATTTTTAACTTTAACCATTAACTTACAGTTCGAGTTTTGTCGGAAACCATAGGGGTTACGTTTATAATATTAATGATATGGGGAGGTAACGCTTTACTGGTTCAAACCATTGACAGGTAATCTATAGTTTTCCCATTTAGAAACAATATAATAAACAAAGTAGCTACCCAGAAGCCGATGTGCAAAATGATGTATGACAGGTAAACCACCAAAAAACCTTTTCATGTTTTGTCAGGAGAGAAAAATTGATATAGTAATAAATGAATCTGGAAAAGGTAACAATGATGACAAATGTGAAGAGAATTTGATATATTAAAACCTAGTTTCACTGCATATTTGCTCTATTGTTCGTGTGGCATTACTAATCGAAAAACATCAGAACTGGTCCCCACATTTAGACAGCTGACTTAGAAATTCTTTCCAAAACATAGAAACTTAGCTTCCTAGTACCCGTTAATAGAAACCTTCGAAACTAAGTTTCCTAGTGCCCATTGATAGAAGACTTACCCTTTTTGCAGCTGCTGCTGCATTTTGCTCTGGTGGTTCCACAACTTTGACATCTTTCTGAGCAATGTTTGGCTCTTTGCACTTTGACAGCAAGCAAAAAAAAAAAGTGGAAGGTAAACACAGCTAATTAAGCATATTGAGTACTAGAAATTCTTCTCAAAACATAGAAACTTCGCTTCCTAGTATCCATTAATAGAAACCTTAGAAACTTAGTTTCACAATACCCATTAATAGAGACCTTACCGATTTCACGGCTGCTGCTGCTGCTGCATTTTTTTCTTTTGGTCCCACAGTTTTAACATCTTTCTGAACAATGTTTGGCTCGTTGAACTTTGACAGAAAAAAGGGAAAAAGGTAAACAAGATAATTAAGGATATTAAGTAATGAATTCTACATAAAAATATATGACATCAGTCATCACTTTCAGGTCCATAAAATATTAAAACAATAAATGCAACTTCAGTGATTAATATAAATCGAAGGCGAAACTGATGTTTTCAATGACACTGGTGCTAGATTTCAAAAGTTACAGTTCCACAGGTGCCCATTCGTTCATTGATGAGAGTGGCTTGAAACCACATGGTTTTAGTCCATTTACTTACTCATATCATATGCCTAAAAATGAAATGGCTGTGGACGACACCATACAATGCAAATGTAGCACTATGCTTTTTTCACTTTAAAACTAAGGGTGTCTCTAAAATCCATCTAAAAAGATTACAACCACTTGGCTATCAGAAAATATGCATATACTATTTTGTGGAATCTAGGAGCGGCAACATTAAAATCATTACCTGGACTATTGTCGCCACTTCTTTCTCCTCTGCATTTGCAACTGACTTGATTTCTTCCACAATGAGAATGGAATTTGAATCCTTTGACTGAAGTGAAAGAAAAAAGTAACCAGTACAGAGAGAGTTGTCATCCATATCCCATGTGCATCCAAAACAAAAAATCTCATGTCTATTGTTTAAAATTCTAGTGTAAACCAAAAAATCAATATGATTATATATATGAGTGCATGTAAGTTAACCATGGAGACACAAATGCAAGTGCATGCCCATGTAGACAGTCATATATATAAGATGCTTGTATATCAAGTTCAGAATAAATGAACCTATGATTAACGATGACATGCATAGGCTGACCAATTATGTATGATATATATAAATGACAAGATATTATCATGAGTATCAACAGTAAAAGCTCTGAACATTTTTTCATCAAAAAACATAGTTTGCATTGATTTGAAGCATTCATCATAGAAACTTGTGTACAAGGCAGGCCATTAAACTTCTAGTTAACCCACTTTCTATTTATATAAAGGCATGCCAGATACCTTACTAGCCATGAATTTCTCCAATGCTTCAGTACCATTCTTTTGAACATATGTCTCAACCACAGCTAGGAAGGTTTCGGGTTTGAGAGAGACCTCATCCTTAGGCTTATTCAACCACTTGACAACAGATTGTCGGTCCACAGATAAGCACGGATGAACAAGGCTTTTGTAGACATAGTATGCACCATTAAATCGAGGTATTACTAGCCAGCAGACAAATAGTAGCTTTATCTGATGCAAGAATGGTAGCCTGACATGAATAGAGAGAAAACGAAGAGTAATTTAGACTCATTGATGACAAAACCTGAATCAAAGGTGAACATTTATTGAAAAACTCCAAGCAGTTCGAAAGTACAAATTACCGAGTATTGATTAACATTTATATCTTTGTACTCATCTAAATGAAGCAGCACGAGCGAAGCTACATGCAACTAAGTGGGGGCAGTTTCCCCCACTCAACCTTTCTTCTTTTTGCAAAAAAATTCCTGTATATGTTTTAATATATCAGCCCCATATGTTCTCAAGAAATATTCCAAAAGCTATTTGTTGTCTCCCTCCTTATGTCTCACTCATCCACTCTCATAGTATTTGCTTGGGATACATTAAGAATGATGCTACTATTTGGAATTGATTTGTTTATCTAATTAGCTAACCTAATCTGTTGTTACCCATTGATTAGAAATGGATCCCAACTAAGGTTGAGATCAATCCAATAGCAACAATTGATTAGAACAGTAAACTAGTTATTTTATGACTATGAAAAAAAAGTGTTTTATGGCATTAATAATGAGGTTATCATGTAATGTTTTTACAATATGAAAACTGGTCTAGAGCAATTCTGGATGAACTGCATAAAAGTACTACTAATCAATATTTAAATTTTGGATTGTATTAGTGGTTCAATTTTTTATTTTTTATCAATAAAATTTGCACTCTCTATCTCAGTTTTCTAACTCCACCCCTATGTGGTAGTATTTGTGTTCTAACTAGAACCTAAAGTAGAATAAAGGATAACAAGGCTCCAATTTCATTCCACAGCAAAGTGCAAATATAATGAATTTAAGGGCGTCCATGACACAAAATTAAAAATTTAGTGAGTCTAATGCAACTAACAACAAAAGTTTGCATTTTTGGCAGAGTAAAGGTTATGCACATGGACCAAGATGCTACAGTTCTAGAGTGGATGGAAAACGTTTATAAGAAGGGTGCAAAAATGCTGCCTTGGGATGGATGTTTCTTTTTTTTTCCCCCGGAAACTGAATTGGGTATCAAAGATGCGGCGTTTTATGCTGATGGTTAAATCTTTTCGGGACAGGGGAGCAAATGCAGCAATCTGAGATGAGGGGCAAAACTGTGATGGTTTGGGATATCCATAAAACCAGGACGTTTTAGGATGTATATGAAAGCTAATGCAGTTTAGCAGGAGCCCAGGAACGCATGTAATCTGCAGAATAGGTGAAAGTATTACATCTTTATGAAATTGTTCACGTAAGAAATGTCACGATCACTGCATATAAATGCTGTGATTTGGGGAGGCCGGTGAATTTTAACTTCAATTTGGACAGCCAAAATGCAGCTTCTGGATGAGAGGGTGGGAGATGATATTGCTGCTTTTGAATCATTAACACATGGAATCTGATTTTAAAGGAGTGAAATTTAGGAATAAAAATTCTTAACATAACCCACCAATCTACCACGAAATTGGGACAATGTTACCAAGCATGGTTTAGTGTCTAATGGTTCTGGATCATAACGAGCCACCAGTCCTACTTATTACCTAGGCTGATACCATTTCGATTATACACTATACGAACACAACTACACACATTATAAATAGTTGGATTTGTGTTCAGCATTTTTTGGCAAAATCTGATTTACATAAAACACAAATGAGACAACAGAGGATAGCAGGTGAATGCTTAAAGTATGTACAATAGACGATAGCAGATGAATGCTTAAAGTATGTACAATAGAGGATGGCAAAACTAATTACCATTCAATAACTCTCACGAAAGCAAGTTCAAAGAGAGAAATCACAGAAAAAAGAACCCAATATGTGACCAATTTCCGCATGTGATAGTTTGAATTAGTCTCAATTGCCCGAACCGAAGCACAACTGCCAAGAACAAATAATTAGTACCACCACCAACAACAATGTTAAATCAATTAAACAGTCAAAATTAAACCAAAAAAAAATTAAAACCCAAGAACTAAATTTATGAACAGTAGGAGGAGGTAGACAACTTTACTCGTCCCTCATCAAATGTGGAGAGGGAGAGAGTAATTAGCACCATTACAAACATTAAAGTGAAATTAATTACACAATCAACAGTAAACCAAACAAGTAAAACTCAAAAATTATATTCATCAACAGTATAAGCAGGTAGACAACTTTACTCTTCCCTCATCAAATGTGGAGAGAGAGAGAGAGAGACAGACAGACAGACTTACAGAGGGTAGACCAAAGCAACTAGAGGCCTGCAAGTAAAAGAAAGCCGTGTAAGAATATGTGAAGGTATACACACGTACATAATGCACAACTACAAGTATACTATCAGCTTAGAACCAATTAACTTCATAATGTCACAAAATACACATATGTGAAGTGAATTCCTCTTTGGATCTGATATGCAGTGAAAGTTGGATCGCTCAACACTGAAGAGAAATAGAAAATATGAACCTAAAAAGCACATTTTCTTTTCTTTTTGAAGAATAACATCACATTATTTTCCAAAATTTTCTTGGTGGTAAGAAAATAGAAGAATCACCAGGCAAGAACATCGAAGCATTTCAATGAAAATTGGAGTAAACCCACAAAACCCATTTTGGATTTGACCAGTTTGTAGCTTTTTTTTGGCCTGAACTCCCAGGTTTTTGTTGAGGATGTCTGATCGGAAAGCTTTTGAAAGAAAAAGAATTGGGTCAGACAGTTCAAACAACGCACGAGTGGTATTTATAGTTATTACAAACAAGCATAATGGGAGGTCAATAGACGGACTCGGACTGGTCTTTTACACGTCTCTTACTGTCGCAGGTAACTTTCGTTTTTCTCTTGAGACTATCTGTGAAGGCGTTGCTATTATAGTTAATCACACTCAACTCAAGAATAAGGGACAAAAACTCACACAGAAGGCACACACGAATCTACTAGGACAACACTCCCAAACCTTATATATTGAACTCAACAATTTACAAGAACTCTCAAAAGCCAGAACACTCTCCCCCTTCCAGAATGCTCAAGCACCTCTATTTATACAAGAGGAAGGCAGATGACACCCCCATATGCCAAGGGGTAGTTACCCACGTTTTTGCTATTCCATAGCATACTGAACTAGTAGATTTGGTCTCTGTGCAACACCTGGCAGGCAGTTCCACCACTTCAAGTAACTGCTGTGGAACTGCCCCTTCATCAGCATGCATCTAGACTGGATTCAGACTGGGGACATTCAGAACTGCCTCAGCAACTGCCTTGATTGAGTCTCAGCATCATAACTGCCCACATCCTCCTGGTCACATGCATTGAGCAGTCATGTGCCAATCAGGTGCCCACATTCAGCAGTCATGTGCCCACATTCACCAGTCAACCTTGCTACTCGAACCAATGTGCATGTTGGGTTCAACCTATGCCATGCAATCCGAAGCTCTGCACCCACATTGCTTCAATTGAGCCCACCCATGCTGCCATACTCAACCGGGTGGTCTCATGCTGCCTTGGTTCGCCCCAATCTGTCGAACCACTTAGCCGCGTCACCTTGATTCCAATTTCTGGCATGCCTTGGTGCAAGGTGCCACCAAGACCGGCCATTTGCACCCAAGTCAATTAGGGTGTGACAAGCCACCCCCACCTAAAGTATCCAACGACCTCGTTGGAATGGAGGCATGGTATTGCTTGATGAGATCCTCAAACTGCCACAATGTCGTCTCTTTCTCCCAAGTGGCTTCCTCCAGTGCTTTCCCTTTCCACTTGACTAGGTAATGAGTTCTTCTATTTTTCTTACTCATTCCCTCAGTCTTGTGGTCAAGGATAGCTTCAGCTATTTCTGTGAATTGCTTCCTGATTGTTGGAGGAGCCCGACGCCGAACGTATCTGTTAGGGTCCTCCGGGTCCTCAACATACGGTTTTAAGAAGGCAACATGGAAAACTGGATGAAGCTTGAGACGACTGGGAAGATCCAGCCTATAGGCCAACCTGCCTATCCTCATTGTTATTAGGAAAGGGCCGTCATAACGCTGAATTAATCCCTTGTGTGCAGACTTCCGAGAGATCTTGTTCCAGATTGGTGGGGTCAATTTCAGCATCACTTTGTCACCTACTTCGAACTCTACTGCCCTCCTCTTCTCGTCTGCCCACTTTTTCATCCTCTTCACCGCCTTAGTTAAACAGTCTTTTGCTTCGTCGGTCCGCTCTTGATTGGTCCGAGCGAAGCGATATGCTGCAGGACATCTCCCTTGAGACTTTTGCTTGACTACTTCATGCGGGGTAAGAGGCTGTTGGCCAGTTGCCAACTCAAAGGGGCTCATTCCAGTGGACGAACTCTGTTGGAGGTTATAACTGAACTGGGCTACATCAAGTAAATCCACCCAATTGTCCTGGTTCGCTGTGACATAATGTCTGAGATATTCCTCCAGCATTGCATTAACCCGCTCGGTCTGCCCATCTGTCTGCGGATGATTACTGGTGGAAAGTTTGAGCTGTGTGCCCAACAGCTCAAATAAAGCTGTCCAGAATCGGCCAGTAAACCGAGTGTCCCTGTCGCTCACTATGTCCAACGGAAGACCCCAAAGCTTCACAATATGCTTGAGGAATAACAGAGCAGTAACTTCCGCCGTACATACTTTTGGGGCAGCAATAAAAGTGGCATACTTCGAAAATCTGTCTACCACCACAAATATCGAAGTAAAATCGTTTACCTGAGGCAAGCCATTAATGAAGTCCATGGAAACACTCTCCCAAGGTCGGCTTGGAATAGGGAGAGGTTCCAATGTACCCGCCACCTTCTTCCTTTCAATCTTGTCCTGCTGGCACACCAAACAAGTGCGCACATACAGCTCCACATCTGCTTCCATGCGGGGCCAATAATAACTTTCTGCTAGCAAGGCAAGAGTCCGTTGCTGCCCTGGATGTCCTGCCCATAGAGCATCATGAGCTTCTTTCAGCAACATCTGTCGAAGTCCGCCTGACTTCGGAACATAGGGTCTCCTACCTTTGGCGTAGAGAACACCATCCTCTACCCAAAATCGCCGAGTCAC